CTCGTCTGTTTATTTACAGCCAGTTCCAGTGGAGATTGTGACAACAGGATAAGTGGATAGGACCTAGCATTAGCGACATAGCACTCCGCTATCACGGCAGTAGGGACTATACTGCTCTGCTACAACCACCCCCAATTAAAAAACATTGCTGGACGTTTCACTCTCACAGAATGCTACTGCCAACCTTAGCGTGTTTTTTGGAGAACCTGCATGTTCTATGTTCCAGCTGGGTCAACCGAACCAAGCATCAGTTCTGAGCCAAGTTTTATTATGTGTATGAATTCAACTTTTTTTGGTTTGTTCAGTCAGTATTGTGTAATAAGTTCTTAAAATACAATGATTTGCTTCTTGTCTGAAATTCAGCAAATTAAAATAAACTAGGCRTTCGTGTTATTACGTTAAATGTGCGTCAACCACGTTTTAGTAAGAAATCCACGCAAGTCTTTGTACATGAGGCCCCAGTTGTTTTTGTTTTTTAACATACCATACCTTTTTAATTGATTCACACATTTGAAGCCCAACCCCACTGTAAGTTATGAAACACATTGTCAAATTAAACAAAAACTAATTCTCTAACATACTTTGTCATAAGTGTTGTGAGAGACTAAAATCAGATGGATTTTTTTCCCAGTACAGTTAAAACCTGTTCTCTATGTGAAACAAAATAAACTGCTTATGTGCTGTGCAAAATAATATTAATATTCATGTCATGAATTGTCTGGTATGTGCTTAGTTTATAATAATATGCTAGATTTAATACTTTATTATTACCATTACACACCCACTTTGCCTGGTAGTTCACTCAAGTCTTTCACAAACATAACAATTTTATCTTATACATTAACATTAGCAAAAACCTGAAGAGGGCTTTTTTTTAATAAGTGCTACAATAAAAAGTTCTAGTCAYAAGATTGACAAACTGTTAACATTCAGGTAATCACAGCCTCAGAATATTATCAAAACACTACACCAGTGGTCCTCCATCCTGATRTTGGAGGGCCACCATTCTGCATGTTTTAGGGGTTTATCTGTTTCAACACACCTGACTGGAATAAATGAGTGATTAGAAGGATTCTGCAGATCTTGCAGACCTGCTGAAGAGCTAGAAAACATCTAAAACATGAAGGATAGTGGCCCTCGAAGAGCAATGAACTAAAACTAACTGTTTCAAATTACGTAAGGTGATGTATGGAGCAGCTCTGAGTTTAGTAACTGCGCAGCTTGTTTATATGTTGGTAGATCCGGGCAACGATAACAAGCCCATGGGGTGACATTTAGGCTTTATCATAAGATAAAACGGTAAATGACAGCTAATACGGCTAGCATGCTAACAAGTGCCCCGTTTCCACTACGGAACATAAAAAGTTAAATAAATAATCTCTATTATGATTTTTTTTCTCCGCGCAGGTGCTATTTTCAACATATTTCATCTTGAATACTTACGGGAAGCCGAGGACTAATCTCTACTGAGCATCTGTGACAGAAGAACCGGCTCGGGCATGAGGGAGCTTCGGCCATCTTTAGTCTTCAAAAGAGAAGGAAATGTACGGAGCACCGTAAAGGACAAAACTACTACAGTGGAAAAGGCGAACACGTAAACTAAATTACGACGTAGTTATAAAACATATAAACGTGTATTATAGATGAAAAAAAAACTAGACTAAAAAAAAAAGTTCAACAGCGTGCAAAGTAAAACAAGCTACTGCAACACCTAAAACAAAACGATATAAAACATTAAAGGTGAGGAAAAATGAACATGTTTCTGGATGTTCATTCCATTTATTTATTTATTTATTTATTTATTTATTTATTTATTTATTTAGACCACAAAAAAATTCAATTCTAATTTTCAAGCACAGACCTGAATATTTAATTTCCGTAACTTACACAATACTGCCACATGGTGGTGCTGTTGGGCATTGATTGAGTCACGTTGTTGAGTTTTGCTTTGTAAAGGACGTAAAGCAGGATATGTCTGTGAAATAATAGTATGTCAATAAATTAGGGTATTAAAGGCAGGCCTRAAGAGTAAACAGATTTAAAACCAACACTTATGTCTCACTTCATAAATGGTAAACTCGTTTTCTCTCCACTGCTCCCCTCTTTTTAACATGAAAAACAGAAATGCGTTTCTGCAGTCTGGCATCACACAAGATTTATTTGTGTACATTGTTTCCACTGGATTCCTCTCAACCTCTTATGAGCCCAACAGGCATTCTTTAACCTTTTCAAAGTTGTGCAGCATCTGTTTTGGAACTAAAAACAGGAATTGCCAAGAATCCTTTTCAACAAGAACTGCAAATACAAAATAAAACATATCTGACGTGTGAAATCCTGCTGATTTTTTATAATTTCTTTTAGGTCTTCCACCTTTCTGTAGCTCTCAAATAAATGGAAATTCTCAGAGAAGAATAAATGGATCTGCAACAGGTTACCTTTGGAGTCAACTCAAATTTATGGAGCAACATTAAAAACAATTGTAACACTGGAAATGATTAAAGGGTGATCAAAATGACTGAATTAAGTGTCATAGAACGTTATAGGAAAATAAGTTTTGTAAAAACAATAGAAGAAAAATCCAAAGTTTTTTATATTAAATTAAAATAGGAAACAGCGGCACAAATAAAGCAACTTAAAAGGGCTTATCAACAACAATACCAAGTAGTCTGGTCCCTTTCAGCATATGTTTGGTTCCAACAACAATAATTTTTTGTCTTGCCAACATAAAAAATTATTTGTTGTGATTACCTCTATAAAAGCAGCATGATGGTCAAAGACAATACAAGACTGCCTGAAACTAATGTATAGTTACTGTCTTCAGTTTTTTAAATTTTGTTTATTCATTTTTGTTTCTTAACTCAAACATTGATTATTTTGGTGAAATAAAACATGAAAAAAGAAACAACAGCCATTTATATTGGTTTTAAAGGATATAACATTTTTTGAAATCTTTTGCTTTGAGAACTTCTTTCAGCTGTTCCCTTTTCAGGGGCCTCCACAGCAAGTCATCCTCCTCCAACTCTCTCTATGTCCTCTGTCCTCACCCCAACTACCTCCATGTCCTTTCTAATTGCATCCATATATTGTGAGGTTTTGGTGGAGGAACCAGAATGCAGACACACATGACCAGGAGGGTAAACTAAAACAAATCTTTAACAATAAAACAAGAAGCAAACACAGCCCAAGCCAATAACACAATGCGATGATCTGCTGAGGTGTAGGTGAAAGGACACTGACTAAATAGTGCAAGACTGTCCATCCGTCCGTCTGTTTTCTTCCACTTATCCGGGGTCAGGTCACGGGGGATGCAGCCTAAGCAGAGATACCCAGACTTCCCTCTGCACAGCCACTTGGGCCAGCTCATCCAGAGGAATCCCAAGGCGTTCCCAGGCCAGTCGAGAGACATGGTCCCTCCAGCGTGTCCTGGGTCTTCCTCTGGGTCTCCTCCCAGTGAGARGTGCCCAGAACACCTCACCAGGGAGGCGTCCAGGAGGCATCCTAACCAGATGCCCGAGCCACCTCAACTGGCTCCTCTCGACGTGGAGGAGCAGRGGCTCTACTCTGAGTCCCTCACGGATGACTGAGCTTCTCACCCTATCTCTAAGGGAGAGCCCAGACACCCTGCGGAGGAAACTCATTTCAACCACTTGTATCTGCGATTTCGTTCTTTTGGTCACTACCTGAAGCTCGTGACCATAAATGAGGTAGGAACGTAGATCGACTGGTAAATCAAGAGCTTCACCTTCTGGCTCAGCTCRCGCTTCACCACGATAGACCGGTWCAGCGCCCGCATCACTGCAGATGCAGCACCAATCTGCCTGTCGATCTCCCGCTCCATTCTTCRCTCATTTGTGAACAAGACCTGAAGAAACTTAAACTCCTCCCCGAACCGGAGGCGGCACAGTACCAGTTTCCGGCTCAAGACCATGGTCTCGGATTTGGAGGCACTGATCCTCATCCGCTTCACACTCGGCTGCGAACCGCTCCAGTGAGAGCTGGAGATCAGGATCTGATGAAACCAATAGGACCACATCCTCCYCAAAAAGCAGCGATGTGATCCTAAGGTCACCAAGCTCAGCTGTTTATACTGATGAAATATAAACAGCTGAGCTGTTTAGGAGGAGTAACAGGTGTGAGTGGTAGATTGAGTGGAACAGAGTTGTAAAGTAACTAAGTACAAATACTTTGTTACTGTACTTAAGTAGAATTTTTGGGTATCTGTACTTTACTTGAGTAATTATTTTTCAGCCTACTTTTTACTTCTACTTCTTATATTTTCACACAGTTATCTGTACTTTCTACTCCTTACATTTTTTTAAAAAAGGCAAGAAGTAGAAAGTCGTTACTTTTATTTAATTTTTGTTTGTTTTCCTCCCAGCTGCTTGTAAAAAAATAAATACTATCCATATAAACTGTGCCTTCTAGATAGTTAATTTAATTTTGGTTGAATGAGAAGTATAAATATATCAAATTCTGATACCACATTAGTTTGTACACAAACAAATCATGTCTGTAGTGATTATTGCTGTTTTGAGTTTTTTGTGTTTGATTGGTTCCTGTTGGCAATTACTCCACCTGTGGGTGATCTTCCTGATGAGCCCCTGGGCTTTAAGAGAGTCACTTGGCATCCTGGTCTTCGCTGATGCATCACACCATTTTGGGTAGTGTCTGAAGCTAATTATGGTTTTGTACAAATCTAAGGTTAGGGTATATGGTATATGATATATATATATAT